CCCCCAGGACGCGGGCAAGCTGCGGATCGGCACCTACACCGGGCCGCTCCAGCACTGCGCCGTCTACTCCGGAGGTAACGCCCCTGCCCCCAGCTCTCCCGCCGCCAGGGGAGCACGCGAGAAGGCCTGGCTGGGCTCTGCAGGCTGGCGAGAGGGGCACCCCCAGCTGGGGCGCTGAGCCCCGTCCCTCTCGCCCAGGCTCCTCGGACATGGTGTGTGAGCTGCTGGGGGTGAAGGGCAAGGACATCCTCTACATCGGGGACCACATCTTCGGCGACATCCTCAAGTCCAAGAAGCGGCAGGGCTGGAGCACCTTCCTGCTTCCAGTCTCCACACAGATCACCGATTCCTGACTCCACACACAGACATTACACAGATCTATGAAGAGCAGATACAGAATCAGAAGAAAGTAACCATTTGTTTGACCCCTCCCATGACCCCCTTTGTGCCACCTTTGGGGCGAACCCCCCCCCAGTGACCTGGCTGCTCCCCTCACAATCCAATAACGTGACACAGGGTTCCCCCCATCCTGCAGCCCTGTAGCATCAAGAACAGTCTCCACCAGCCAGTAGAACAGGGAGGGTTTATTACTTCTGTGGGACACAGCCCAGCACAGCCGTGATGGGGTTTCAGGAGTCAGGGCCAGGATGCCCCAGACCTCTTGGGTTAGGGGGTCCATTGTCACCCCTAGACCCTCAGTGCTCAGCTTAGTCTGTCCCCTTCATGTTCCCCAGCCAGAAACTGCCCCCCAGCCAGGCGTCCGTCTCCGCCTCCCTTCCTTCGTCTCTCCCTCTGGGAAAAGCCTTGTTGTCTGCTAAAGCTGGGCCTAGGTGTCTGGGCCGATCCACATGTGGGTGAGTCAGTGGGAATCTCATCCCAGTGCAGGGGAACCCCGGGTGACAGAGCAGACAGCCCCCCACTACGTCACAGCAGGAAGTGGCAGACCCAGGACATCTGGCAGGGACCACAGCCTAGAGTCTGTGTATGGGGCAGGGAGCCCAGGGCTGGGGTGCAGGTTGGGGTGGGACCGAGGGGCGCCCCTCTGCGTGCAGAGATCTTCGAGGAGCTGCGGAGCCTGGACCTGCTGCTGGCCGAGCTGTACCAGTAAGTGGGGGGAGCCGCAGAGGTGGGGGAAGGTCGCTCTTGGGGCCCAGACCCCAGTCTGGTCCCACGGAGCCCAGAGCGGCAGGGGACAACTCCCGGGGAGCCCGGCCAGGGGCGGGGCGAGCTGATTGGACCGGGGTCGGGGCCAGGAGAGGGAGCACAGACTGCAGGGGGGCGTCGTGGGTTGCTGGCCGGGCCCTGTGCACCACCTAGCACAGGCATG